TCTATATATGATTCAATAATGTCAGTCAATGGGCTTTCCTAGCGTGTGACTTGATTTCTGAAAATCTGGTTTCAGGGCAAGATAAACTAACCATAGAAGTATTCATTCCATTATTTAGACTTCGGAAAATAGAACTTGTGGTCATGTCCGCCTGGTTCCCCACTGTGAGACATTCCCTCGTAAGAAATGCGCTAGGTCCATATCCTTATCGTCTGTTACAATTAAACTTCTATGTCATCTTCGGTGACTGAACAATCCGTCGCGAGTGTGTGGATATCAGTGTAAATAAGTATTTTTACTGTATCCACCCTCATCCACTTTTGATACCCCTTCAGGATATTTAGGAACTAACATGTCATGCAACGCATTATCTTAATACTGTCCTCTTCATAGAGTTATCTATATTTTCTGAAGCCCATTGACTGACATTATTGAATCCTATATAGAACCATGCAGTAGCACAGTTTCTTAGGAACAATAAAAGCCAGATCTCTCTTTATCGTTCTTATCAAGTGTTATTCGCAAACAAAGACTGTTGGATGATTTTTGGACCATTCTGTACTTTATTTCATAGAAAAAAAGATTACCTTTCAGGTGCAAGTGCTGGTTTATTAGATTCTGCTCTTAATTCAATCATTTTATTTAACGTTAAATAACCGTTTAAACTAAAAAAAACACGTTGTTCAAGTGGTGAATCCTAAAAAATTGATTGAAAATATAATAATGCTAATTTTGAAATATTATTAAAAGATATTCTACTTTTTCATAACCATATGTATCGAAAATTTTAACAAATTCACTAAGAATACGTTGACATGCTAAATAATTTGTTGTATTTAATGGTTCTTTTCTTGCTGTTGTACTCAAAGATTTTTCTAATTCATTTAAAAACCGTTGAATACTAGAAAAACCGAGCAAATTTATTCAAATATTCGATATGTTTTTCTTTCTCCTCTTTCGATTTACCGTGCTTTATGTGTCGATGTTAAATATGGTCGTTGGGCATTTTCAGTTTCATATGCTGTCGAACTAAAATTTTAAAATGATAATATATGATATAAAGTGAAAGAAAAACTTAAGACGTTCTTTTTGTTTTATGAATAATTTTACTTGAATATGGTCTACATTAATTAATATTAATTAACAGTAGTAGAAAAAGTTTACTTTAGCTTATAGTGTTTAAGTATATCATTAGCAATAACATTGAAAACTGAACAAAATTGTAAACTATTTGTACCGAAATGATTCTTTCTAGTAAGAGAGTAACCAGATCAGGAAATGTTACTTCTATAATGTGTTATTGTTTTAGTACGGTTGAACTTTATAACACAATTTCAAAGCTTGAGATTCTGTGTATTTTACAAAGTAGACTTTATAATTTCGAATGAAACCTAATTGTTATCTATGTAATGCACTCTTCAGTCAGATTAACGAGTTTAGATTGGTTAAGCTTCTTATCGAAGAAGAAGAATTAGAAACTGCTCTGTGAAATACGTTAAATCGTGCGCTTTGAAGTTGCTTTATAAAGTTCAACCATACGAAAATAATAGCACAGTATAGTAGTAAAACTTCCTCATCTAATTATTATTTTACTAGAATGAAGTGTTTCGACACAAATAATATACAGTTTTGTACAATTCTCAATGTTTTTTCTGATGATGTACTTAAAAGTTAAAACAAAACATTTCTATAATATAGTCCTTATAGTTCATTCTCACGACTATAAAATCACTATTTGATGTCTTTTATAGATCATGTTCAAATAAAATTATCCATATAATAAAAAGTGCTTTCAAACGTTTGCCTTGCATTTAAAATGAATGTAAATTTACCGTTGAGCAATACGAAGGCGTAGTTTTTTAGCTCGTTTTTTCATTGCATGTTTTCGTTCTCGATTATAAGCTATTTCTTGTCGGACAATATCATCACTTGTAACAACTGCTATACATTCTGTATTAAATGTATTCTAAAAGAATGTTAGTTTAATTTTTTATTAATAAAATAAATTATAAAAATAAGATGTCTTACAAGTTCTTCTTGTGTAGGTTGTTTCTTGACACCATTTTCATTCTTTTGATTAAATCTTTCAATTAATAATTGATTATGACGAGTACCACGTAAATGTGTTTGCAAATGAAGATCGGAAGCTAACTACAAAAGAAAAACAACCTTTTGTTCAATTAAGTTTGTTAATAGCGGATTGTTAGACAAAAAACAAAAAACCAGCAAGACTAACCAACAGATTGCATAGTGTACAACATTTACGAGTTGCAACAGGATCGTCATTCATTGGAATGTTTGTTATTGATGTTGTTGTTTTAGTGTCATCATCTACCGGAGATACATGATGATGATGATGATCTTCAGCACTTGGTCCACGTAAAACACTCATTTCCATAGCTTTTCGACGGATTTCTTCGAGTTGAGTTATATGTCGTCGCGCACTTTCTTCTTGCTGTCAACAAAGAGAAACAAATATAAGCTATAATTTTAAAAAAAATGCAAAATTAAAGATAGAACAAACTTTTAATGTTAATTTTTTCTTCAATTCAACAGTTGATGCTTTGAGATATTCAACACGTTCTGCACGCTTCTTCTGAAAACTTCTGAAACATAAAATGAATTATTGAATAATAGTTGGTTATTGAATAAATAAGAAAATTGCCATAGTCCAATTTCTAATCAGAGAAGAGCACAGGTTACGATTATTATTTTCAAACAGATATCACATTATTGGTAGTCATTCTCCAGTCTATTGATTTCAATCTACTATCAAAGAAATCAATATCTTTTTAATGAGTACGTTTCTTTTGTTTAACTAATTCCACTCCAGAAAAATTCTATGTCGCTATTTGTGGAAATTGTTGATATCAGGGACATTGATGTAACTATACCAAATGAGAATTGACATTTTCTTTGATAATTTTTATGAAAACTATTAAAATAGCTCAATGGTAGATTTATATCTGTTAACTTCTAAACTTAAATGTGAGTGGAATTAACGCAAACTTTTACATAAATCTATTTTATTGAACAATTTATTTAATCATTACTGTACCGCCTCACTTTGCTCATTGTAAAGCAGATCAAACTACAGGACAAGCATATACGTTATGCCCTTTCTTATCTTATTAAAGAGTAGGATCGATCCAGTCTGTTCTGTGTTCATCTCTGCTTGTCGCTCTAAAATTCTTATATTCATATTAAATGAGCATATACAAAACACTATTTTATATTTTGTGCATGTGGAATACAGTTTGTACATCGAAATCTGATGACACAGAAAAAAACCTTATCACATGCTTCATTTCAATTTCAACGATATTTATTTGACCTATAGATACTACACAAGATTCTATTGAAAGTTTTAGAAGAATCTAAATTCATATAGAGACTATATGAAACTACTGAATTTTCTATTTGTCAGAGATGCCAAATTTTGAAAAATTTATGTCAATTTCAAGGAGTTCCATATAGTAGCTTGTATGAAGAATTTCACAGTTTGTTGACTTCATCTTTCTAAGTTATGAACCTTTCAAAATACTCTAGTCTTATTTACTACGCTTCGAAAAGCATTTATTTTTTAAACGTTCATAGCTCTGAGAGATAAAGTCTGCAAATTAATACTGTTCGTACAAGTTATTGTATGTAAGTTCTTCAAATGAAAATAGGTTCAAGATACAATTGAAAAACACGATTTTGCCGAAAAGCTAGGATCTCTAGCAAATAGACATACTGAAAATTCAATAGTTCTACTAAGTCTCAAAAGAAACACAATTCTTTCCAAGAGTTTCATTAGAATACTATATAGTATCTATCGGTAAAACATTGCTGAAATCAGAAATGAACACTTGCGGAAACTCCGATTGCAGAGATAGGATCAATTAGCATCTTTTTGGAACCGAAGCGAACCAATTCTATCGTAATAAGTTCAAGGCAAACCTTATGATCATCCATTGAAGTACCAAAAATCATGAATGTATCATTAATATAAGTACAGATTATCGAATGTCTATCTACACTTGGAACTACGGTGTATTTAGGATGAATGAAAGGTATTATGGCGCAATAGCTCTAATTCTATTTCTTTCGTACTTTTGTTTAGCAATAGCGGCAGTTTGTTTTTGTTTTCGTTTTTCAGTTAAATGTTGTTCAATCATACGTTCTTTTGTTTTCCATTTTTCTTGCATTTCATTAAGACGTGTTTGTCGTATAGCTTCTAATTCTTTTCGTCGATTTTCTGCAGCTAATTCTTTTTGTTTATGTTCATCATGTTTTCTAACACGTTCTTCTTCAAGATATTGTTTATATTGTTCTTCTTTTTGATAACGTTCTTTTAATGTTTGTCGACGATTTTCTTGTTGTAAACATTTAATAAATGCTATTTCTTGTCCTTTTAAATCTTCATCACCAGCTTTTTTAGCTTTTAATAATAATAAATATTGACGTTTTTCTTCAGCACGTTGCATTTTTATTTCAATTGTTGTTTTACGTGCTTTTATTAATTCTTCTTTCCATTGACGAACTTCATTGACCTGAAATATTAAAAATAAAAATAAATGAGATAGAAAGGCAATTCGTTATAGGAGGTTTTATTTTACTCTGTGCATTAATTCACGTAATTTACGAGCTTTTTCATCGCGTAATGTTTGTCGTTTTCTTAATGCTCGTGCTAAATAAAGAAAAATAGATGAATAATACAATGAAATTATGTTCAAATACCTTGACGTTCAGCTGCTTCACGAAGAGTTTCACTCAAAGGCCTACAACGAAGAGAATTTATATATTAATATTAAGGAATAATATAAGAATAATACCGAATACGTGAAGGTGTTGATAATTTTTCATAAAGACGTTGATGTTTTGTTCGAGATTTTCCATCGAGATCAGAATCATTTTCATCACGTGAAAGATCAATTAGACTTAAGTCTTTTTCATCTTGATCACCAGGTAATGACATAAAATAGCTTGAAGTTTTTGTTGTCTATTAATAAGACATATGAAAGAATAAACTCAAATAAGAAATTTATTTTACTATTTACCGATAATTCACTTTCTTCTAATTCTGAACCATCATCAACACCTAATAAAAGATCATCATCACTAACATTATTTATTTGTTGTTCAAGATCTTCTTGTTCAGCCATTAATGAAGCAATTGCTCGTTCTTGTTCTGCTTCCAATGCAGCAGTTAATGATTCTTCTTGATCAAATACATCGAATATTTGCTACAAGAACAGGAAGAATATTTATTCATGTTGTTTTAATTCAAAAATCCCTATCAAATAAACAGGAAGTCGAAATTTGTTCTTATTAATTGAGTGCTTTCAACATTGAGACAAAGGAATAAACTGTTTGCACAATCTCCTTTTACGTGATTTTTCACAAAAACGTCTGTATCGGAATTTGCAAATAATATCCGTATAATTCAAACAAGACAAAAGTCATCAGTATAATGTGCGCTCTACCGAAAATCAACCAATGGTAATTTGACATCTGATACATTGTGAATAGTGACGCATATTGAGCAATCAAACAGGTATTTGGTGAGAAAATGAAAGCGAAAGTTTTGGTGGTTTCAGTAGTGCAGGATGTACTTCGATTCATTGTCAGTTAAATGAGATGAAAGGTTTTATTTCGACTTCTTAGGGTTTTTTTTTGAAAAACTTCGGCCACAAAATAAAGAATATTTCAGCGATCTCAGAACAAAATCGTTATCTCAAATAAGGTAGGAAGAGTGGACTAGCAAATTTGAAATTCCTTGAAAGTAAAGTTTTTGCTCTGTCAATTCGGAAAAAAAATTGTTTCATTGCTTTTCAATTAGAAAAAGTAATCTTTCTTTCTACACTAAAGGGTTATTCATAGAGATGTGCCGGCCTGAGGCCAAAAAAATTTGATCTTGCACATCTCTTGTTATCTAAAAAGGTGTCTTCGGTAAAATGACATTTCACATTTTCCATAGCTTAAATTTGAATGAAACTTCTTGAGATTATTCTTCTCTATGTTATGGGTCTATTATGTATATACAAGTGCTTCTCAACCAAGATGTAAGTTTTTCTGAGTTTTTCGTTTGCTCAAAAGTATATTTAGAAAAAAAAATTAACGAAAAATTTAGAATCAGGACGAGAAACTGCATCGAATAAAGTATAGTTGATTAGCTTTTCCAAGTAATTTTTTTTGACAAAAAATTTAGACTAAGAAATTCTGTGAAGAATTTTCCGTAAAAAAGAATTTTTTCAGTTTTTTTATTGATTACTAATTTCATAGAAAATAATTCGTATCCACAGTGTAATATTTATTAATACCTCAAATTATCTAAAAGTCTTAACTTATTTTTAAGAACATGTTTTTATTAAAAGATACTGATTTTTCTAAAGAAACGAAGTCTAATGACTGATGATCATCACTACCTTCGATCACAAATTACATTATTCAATGAAGATAAGGTTATAGGCATTTATTATTGTTACGCATAATATAAAGGCATTCAAAAAAACTTAGTCTAATTTTAATTAATAATTTTCATCTTTATCTTATAAAACAATCTTACTCGATCCATAAAATCCACCATTCCTCTATGATTTCTCAATAATAATTCTTCATCATCTTCTTCCGATGTTAAACTTTGCTGTTTTATCCGATGATGTGATGTTATAGATAACTGCCGATGATATCGATGATATCGATTCGCATTTATCAAATCATCGCAAACATCTTTTTCATCATCAGCATCTTCAACTGTTTCATCAGTTAATGGTTTTTTAATTGATAATAATGACTGATTCGTACTTCCAATTAATGTCATAGAAGATTCATTAGTTAATGTTGATGTTGAAAATAATGATGGTAATGAAAGTAAACTTGAACTATCAATTGATGTACGATATTTATTTGATTTTTGACGTTTTAATTTCGTTGAATCATTTGAAGAACGATGATGTGATGAGTTATTTACATTTAAATATATATCACTGTTATGCAAAGATTTTTGTCGACGTAATAATTCATTAGAATTAAATATTTCATCTGATTTAGAAAAGAAAGCGGTTAGTACTCTCTCTACGAGATTAAAATGTGAAACACGATGTAGCTGTTATTACTAATCACAGGGAAATTGTTTTATTCTGTCTATTTTACGATATATTTCTCTTTACCTTCCAGAAATACGACAGTGTCCGACATTGGTCAAATTTTTGTGACCCGAGCCGACTCGAATCGGACATTGAGATACAATAAGAAAATAGTTAATAGATTGTAACGAGTCGTTATTGGCTTAGGATCTGTGATGACTCCTGGCGAGTAGAGCTCATTCGGTTTAAAATTTTTGAATCCGATCGAGTTCAAGTCTGAAACCAACCTGACGAGCTCTACTAGAGAACGTCTATCAGAGTCTCTCTGGCGTGAATGCAAATTTCTACCGTATATATTTCAATACTTCTTTTAGATCGTGTTTCACAAATATTTATTCGTAAAATTACCATTACAAATTGATTGAGAGTGTTCAAGTGACCTAAACAAAAGAAAAACGAGAATAAATTATTTTGATTTTAAAAATAAAAATAAGCTTTAATTAAATCAGGGCGGGAGATAATCAAAGTACGAAGCGAATAACCTGAAAGATGAATTTTCTGTTCGTATTGGTAGTGTAATTAATGAAGTGCTAAGATATTCTCTGAAAATTGATTATTATTATTATTTTTTTAATTTAAAATTTAATTGAACGTTCTTGTTTTTGTTTTGTTTTTATTTTACCTTTTTGTTTCATTAGGAATATTTTGTTGTTTTTTAATAAGAATTTCAAAATTTTTACAATATTGACAAAGGAATTGTATAACTTCCTAAAACCAAAAATAAATAATTTGAAAAAACAATTCATAGATAAATAATAAAACTAACTTGACATTGTGATGGATTTTGATCAGATTCACATGTTTGATAGATTTGTTCAATAGATCGTTTTAAATTATCAAATAAAAATGTCCAATACCGTGAATGAATATCAGATGAATTTGATTCTGTTTGACGAGAAGAAATATCGTTTGAAGAACTAAGAGTTTTCAAAAATTGAATAACTAGAAATTGAAAAAAAATTATCATACCTATTTGAATTTTGTGGTAATGGTTTTTGTTCAGGAGCAGAAATGTTTGTCATCTAGAAATAAGATTTATGATGATAGACTAACGAGAGACCTATCCCAAATGACACCCACCGTTTGAGCTCATATTGAATTCATTGGCAGACCTCAGCGAAGCTAGTAGAAGCCTAATAGGATTCGTTCGTATGGGTTTTTATCGTCAAGTTATGACAATTGCACTGGATTTTTCACACATTTTTAGGTACTTCCCAAAAGATTGAGTTACAGAATTTCAGTCCAAATTTTCCTAATAGGTAGTTCTAATGGCTGTTAGAATAGTCCTTCGTCAAAATATTGAATTTCCAAATATAGTCCTTTTGTCACAAAAAAATCGGGTTCATTTGAAAATGTAATAACTCAACGAATGAACATTCTTTTCAACTGAAATTTCCAGGATATTCTAAAAGCCATTAGACCTATTTATAGGCAAAATTTTGAATCAAAGTTCCGTTATTCCGTCTTGAAACCTATCTGTGGGTCCAATATGAAGTCAAATGGCGGATGTCACTTGGATTAACTCTCTCCTTATAACACGATTATTCACTTTTGTTTTATACACAAGGTTGATATAAAAAAAAAATTCAATAAAGCATAGTTACCAATATTTATTATTCTATGAGATTGTGTAAGAATAACTGCACACAGCAAAATACATAATAATTCACACTTTAATATACATTCATATCAAGAATCTAGGCCTGTGATAGCTCACAACTCTATGAAGGAGTTCTATTTCGAGAAACTGGGTCAACTGACCAATTCTTTTCATATGAACTAGACCTACTGATAGTGGTCATAAGACAATTCCATTGATGACCAGTTCAACTTCTCGATAGCGAACTGTCACAGATCTAACTATGCATGCAATTTACTATCAGCACATTTATATCGCTTTATCATTGGTGTAATATGATGTATCCTCTAAACATTAAATGCTAAAATAAAATAAAACTAAACTAAACTGTAAGTGAAGTCAAATATCACAGTGCTTCAATAAAAATAGTGAGTAATGAATGCTAGTGTTCTAATTTTTCTTTGTAAATATATGAGAGATATTCCAATAGTAGGCTATCCATCGTGAATATACAAGAACATTACAACTAATTTCCCTCTTATGAAAAATATTGTCCCATCATGTGACATAATAATACCACGTGATAGAACATCTACTAAAGAAATGCTGACACGAGATTCTTTCAAAAGAATATTATTAGAGTAAACGAACATCATGCATTTATACAAAAGTGTATATACATGAATTTTTACCTTATTCGGTTGCTAACCAACTAAATAAAAACAATTGATATTTAATAATATGAAATAATCTTTAACTAAATAAAATAAAATTTATTTTCGTTTTAATTCAATCTTCAATTCATTCTATTGAACATACATGAACATGTTGACAACGATTTTAATTTGAAAAATAAAAGAATAGCAAAAGGAAAACACCTATGCTGAAACATTGATTCAAATAAACCTAAGAAAAAAATGAATGAATCATTATTTTTGTTTAATATAAATTCTATTTGTTAACAATGAAACCAATAAAATATTCTCTTATGTAAAAGAATGCAAAACATATTATTGATTGGTTATTTTTCATTAAGAATCAGCTGTCTTTCTTTTTCTCTATAAAATATTTCTTGGAATATACAAGAAAATAAATGAAGTAATTGTTATGATGATTTCATTATGATAAAGTGTTTCTTTTTGTTTTCATAGAAACAAATAAAATCATCATAAATATTTTCCCCATTAGTCTCATCATCATGAAAACAAAAAAAATATAATTTACATTCATATTAAATATTAATATTTTACTTCTATTTTGTTTTTTTTCTATATTTCTTTTTTTTAGATATTTTTAGTTTGTTATTGATTATGATAATCAGAAATTTACTATTTATATCCTTGAATACATGTAAAAAAATTTCAATATTAATTAAACAATTTTCTTCGTTTGTGATAAAACAGAAAGTCTTCAATTGAAATGTAAATAAAACGAATACGAATTTAGAAATAAATAGTAGTTTTGAAATTTTTCTTTTTGCTATGGCGTCATGTATAACAAGAATAAATGCTTTAAAATTTCCAAGATATGACGCATGCAAAAGCAACAGAATAAGTAAAAATAAATATTATTTCTTCAGATCATTTTCGTTTTTTCGAAAAATATATTCGAATTTAATAATGTTGAGTACCTTTGAGCTATTCAACATTATTTTAACGCTTTTTTTTTGTTATATAGTGAACAATTTAAAATTGTTTTTTTTAAAGAAAAACTATTCAAATGTTTATTTAGTACCATTTCATCGAGTGTTATAAGCAAATTTTAGCTGTAAATTATGAATATTTTTTGGCTATTTCATTTTTTACCTTGAATGATAAATAGGAGTGTATAATGAAATGATGTAAGTATAGAAAATGATTTTTTTTTGTTCTTTGTTTTGATTCATTTTGTCTTCAATTAAACTTAAAATAACTTCATGAACTTGTGAGTGTAAAATTTTAATTTCAGAAAAAAATTCTAATTTAGAGATTACAGTAGATCAGAGAAATATAAGTTTCTTTGTAAATTGGTAAGACTGTTTTGAGTCATGTTTCGCATCTGTATTAGCTTAGCCTATTCATAGACTTTTGTTGTTTTAGTGTAAACTTTTCGTTTATTTTTTATATTCTAGCATTGGTTGGTACAATGCGTTTCGATCGTCTTTTTTCGTTCTTGTATACAGGTATTGAAGAAAAAGATGTATAAGTCATCAAATGAAGGATATTTGATCGTTATCGAAAAGTAGTTGATCGTCTATGAGTAATGAAAAAAAAATTTAGACAATCGTTACATGTTAATAATAAAAACGAATATACAATTTGATTTGACAGCCCAATGTTTTCCTCTCTACGCAAGGATACAATAATCGTTATTACTTGTTCTTTTCATGTGACTGTTACAATCATCAACCACTATCACTCTATGGTGACCCCTTTTTATTTTGTGACGAGAGCGCTGATATAAGCAAACAACATAAGCTTCTCTTCCTCACTTCTATGGTCCAATTCAAAATTAAATACGATTTATAATTTTTTGAATAACTTTCGGTAGGAACAAGATAGAGATCTGTGGTTTTCGCCATTCGACAGAACAATGTCCGAGCTATTGATTACTATCAAATTCATTAGGACGAAAGATGGTTTTTTTTAATAGGTAATTTAAATTCACTTAAAATAAGAGGTTGTAGGATAATGAGATATGTGATAATTTTATAGCGTAAGTGTAATTTGAGCTACATTTTGATATAATTTGACTTGAGATGATTGTGAAAATAAGTTCAAACATCACTCTTTCTAACGGTGAAAACTGCAGGTCTCTACCTTATTTTCTATCGAAAATTATTCAAAATATAAAAAGTCCCCTTTATTTTGCATTGGGCAATAGGTTTTCGATTTATCCTCCATATATCAGATATATATTTTAGTTATCATGGTTTTTTTGTGTATATGATATCGTATGACGAAAACATAACATAAACTTGATTGTTAGTTCACTTGGTATTACTTAAAACAGAGGTTTTTTCATGTAATACTTTAAAAAAAACTGTTGGACTTGACTCATTCGATTACGAAATTACAATTGTGTATTTAGCTTTTTTTTTCTTTCTTTCTTTTCTTGTTCTTTTCTAGATCATTCAGGTGAACATATTAAAACTTTTAACTTAATCTATTCAAGAAAAAGGTGTGTAATAAATAAATTTTTATTACTTTTTCTTTAAAAAAAATATTTTAATTGATTTTCTTGTAAATACTCATATATTAATATTGAAATCAATTTTTTTTAATTTATAAAAATTCCTTTTTTTTTCATAAAGGTATGTTTTTGTGTTTTTTTGTGATTTATGACTTAAGACGATATTGACAATAGAGAATGTATTGTATATGCATTCGAGCGCATAGAAGTCCGGTTCTTTTTTGCTGTCTTTCTCATGTAAAAACGTTTACTACATTGGAAAAAAAAACGCCCAGTTGGTGACGAAAAAAGAAAAAAAAAGCAGAAAAAGAACACACACATACACATATGCGCAGAAGAAAAGTATACAAGGTTGATTCGCATAACGATAAAAAAGAACAACGAGTTAGGGAACAAAAGAACATATTTACGCATTGTTCCGGAAATCCTGATATATATATAAACATATCAATTGCTGTGTAAGTGTTTTAAGAAATATAAAAAATCATGCATGATTTTGTCATATAATGTTGTTTTTTAGTTGTATTTTTTGCGTTAGATATGAGAAAGAACAAGAAATGCTTTCAAATTTGTTTCTGATATGAGTACTACATTAAAATGCGTATCTATATTTATACACATTTATATGTATACACATAGATTCGTGTGTGACATTTGATGAAGTGGGACGATTTAATTTTGTTGGCTCTGGCTACCTTTCTTTTTCTTTATGTTTTTTTTTCTTCGTTTGAGTTTGTAGAAACGACTAGAAAGAAAGCAAAAGGAAAAGGATGTGAAAGCGGAGTAATATTGCCATTTTGTTTATCGTTTTTCTTGTTGTCTTGTATGAGTTATATCTACGACAATCTGTTAAAAGGCCATTGATATTATTGTGTTTTATTTTTCACAGCTGCATGTAACGTTTATCATTATGTGATTCATTTACTTTTAAAAAAAACAAATAAAAGTTTTGAAACGAAAAAATATTGATTTGTTCTGAGTAAATAATCATTAGATGCAAAAAATCGACCGGAATAATCAGCATTTTTTATTCGTCCTTCATCGGTAGTTTTTTTATCATTACTCGATCAATTCATATAGTTTTTTTTTTTCAAAGAATATTTGTCATTAATACTGCGCAATTTTAAACATGACATTAATAATACTAACAGGATGACAAGAATATATATGAATGTGATTTTCTTCTATCCAAGGCTTATGAACTATGGTAACATCATAGAATAAATAAATCCTAAATAGATAAAATATGGACAGCAATTCTTTTTCCTTCTTTTCTTGGTAATAATAACGTCAATTATACATTGATGCTGTTCGTATTTTTTTCATCGAACAGAAGCAGCAACACCTAACACATCATCACGAAAGGAAAGAAAAATGGGTTAGAATTTTTCTCTTTTCTCTTTTTTTTCTTTACCCTATACACATAGCTTGATGAGAAGTGACATACATCGTCTGACTGCTCGCCTTCCTATTTCAAACAGTATACGACAACACGAGAGATAATGCAGTTTTTCTTTTTTCTTTTTTGTTGACCTCTTAAAGAAGCTCTAAACATTGTCTTGTTATTTTAGCCATGGTGATTGATATTGCTCCTCAGCAACATTTACCTGAAATTTTTAGTACTACTCATGCTCATCATCGTTCATCATCATCATCTACACATAAACGAAATTCAACAACGACAAATCCAACATCAAGTAATAATACAATGACAAACGGTCATCGACTTATGGTAATAACATAATTTTAAAAAAAAGCATCAAAACGAAAACATCGAATATTTCCGATTTCTTCTTTGTTCATTAAGACTGATGAACTTAGTAAAAAAGCCGAGCAAATTCTTGGACATGCACCAGCTGTTGTAGATTATCATCGACAACCAAGTATCGATTTTTCTACTCAACATGCACCTCGATTAAATATCAGGTACAGAATAATATGATTATTTTTAGAAGAAAATAAAACGTTTTGTTTTTGCTTAAATTTTAGACTTTCACAATCACGAACTAATAATCATCAAGTTTCTCCTGTTACAAATTCGAATCAAACGATTATTGTAGGTTGAAAATAGGCTATATTAGTTTATTTTTAAACGTACTGTTCTATCTATTCAGAAGAACAGACATATGGAAATAGTCCAACAACTTGTTCCACTTATATTAAAGGTAGATTGATATCATCTTTGTTTTATTGAAAAGAAAATTTTTATTAACAGTTGGTTGCGCCAACAACATTTACAAAATTACCTGAAACAATTTCTAGACATTCAAATAAAAAAACAAACAGTAATATTTGAAAAGAAAAAAAAAAAAAATTATTTATTTTGTTCTTTTAATTTAGAAAACAATCATAGTACAATCGCAAAGTAATTTCTTTTATAGAATGAACTTAGCCGAATTTCGTGATCTATCTTGAACTAGATTACCATATATGTAGCCTTATAGACCAATTTTCATTGGATCGAACCGTTTTTTAAGAAATTAACTTTTTTCTCCAATTTTAATGTTCTGAGGGTTCATACATTGATTATAATCCTTGAGAAATATATATATATATGGTACTCATCAACATTGTGATTCCTAAATTAGAATTATGAAAATTTTGTTTTTACACTCAGTTCGATACAGTTATAAGTACTCTTCAATTTTCTAGAATCAATAGTTTTCATCGTTGCGTTTTTCATATTCAAAATGATTTCTTTTCTCAGGTCTAAGTTATTTATTGATCATATGGTATTTCAACGTGCTCAGTGTTGTATTACATAGCTAGTGAATATTAAAGTGACACTTTCTAAAAAATTGCACTCTATCGAGCTCTATATACTTCACAGATAATATCCTTGGAAACAACAGGAACTCATTGTCAATTTACAAGATTGTTCCTTAGAATAGATTATTTTACTGTATGAAGAGATCAGTATAATGACAATATTTTAATAATACTCAACGCTTCTATTCAAAAAGTTTTACGTGTCAATAATCAACATAGCATTCCTGATGGATCGATATAAATGACTTCTTTATAAAGAGAAAAAGAGCTTTTTATTTCCAGATCTCTGAAGAGAAGTACGAGCATAAGGAAAAATTTATTTTTGAAATGAACATGATATATATATATAGATTCTTGTAGAGTTTGAGGCAACAATCAAACTTGGATACTCAGAATAAAAATTTGAAAATGAAATAATAATAAAATAGACATCTTTCTTGAAACCGTACGTCCGTACCCCCTTTTCAGAGATCTGAAGGCTACAAAACTTTTATTCCGTTTCTGAAATAATTATTTATATTAGTTCTTTACGTATGCTGTTTAGTAGAGCATAAAAGTTTTTAATAAAACCGTTGAGTATTGTTAAAATATCATTAGCATGCTGATTTTTTTTATACAAGAAAATAGGCTATTTCTGAGAACAATCTTGCAAATTTACAATAAGTTTTTCATGTTTCGAAAGATGTTACTTTTGAAACAAGTAGAACTTGGCAGTATGTAATTTTTGAGAAAGTCCCAAGTTAATACTCATTTGTTCTATGATACAACACTGAACACATTGAAATGCCATTTAATCGATAAATAACCTAGACCTAAGAAAAGAGATCATTTTTAAATATAAAGAAAACAACGGTAAAAACTATTAGTTGTAGAAAATTAAAGAACACTTATAACTGTACCGAACTGAGTTTAAAAACAATATTTGCATAAATTTATTTTGAGAACCACAATGATGATGAGTACCATATATATATTACTGAAGGATTATAAGCAGTGTATGAACCGTCAGCACATCAAAATTTAAGAAAAGCTTGATTTCTTAGATACCATTCGCTGTGCTGTAAATTGCTCTGTATAGCCACATAAAGGATGTTTCGTAATAACTGTCCCGGTTTTGTTAACAACAGTTTTTATACTTTTTTTGGACCGAGGGAGCTGAAATTTTTACCAGATATATATCTATCCATGTTCTTTAATTTCTATAACTTTTAGCTCTCTAGCTAAAGCTATTGACGAAATCCATTGACTGGACCGAGGTATATTGATTTTTGCATTCGATTTCTGCATTATTTCCATATCATCACTAATCATGATAGAATTTTAGCGACAAACCGTAGGAATTATTTTGCCTTCGTCTTCTATAGGAACATTTAATTAACTGCTTCACATCCCTAGAATATGTCTCTGATATATACACATCCAGACAAATTTATATAACAGAGTATTAGCGACAAAACAGAAAAGAACAAAAGGATAAAAAAAAAAGAATAAGAGAAAGAAGAAATCGAAGACGTCAGCGAATGTCATCACCGTCCGATTCGAAATGACTAAGATTTAATTACAACCATATAAAAGTATATTTATGGGTAGAACTTGTTATATTTAACAACGAATTTCAGCACGAATGTCCATCACTTACAACGATAGGAAAAATTTTAGAAGTTTTGTATTGAATCTAAAAAGTCTCAACTCAACATGGAGTGTTGGTCGTATTGCTCGTTTTATTCAAAATTCTGATAATCCACCACATTTGAAGTACACATCACTTTACAAATGTGTATCTCGAATATTAAAAAGAGAAACCATTAACGACAAGAAAAGATCCGGTCGGCCCGTAACAGTCACAACGTCTGAATTCCGTAAAAATGTTGATAAATGTATTCGATTGAAAAAAAATGCTTCTATTAGAAAAACAGATGCCATACTTAAAAGACAAGGTTTTACATCATCGGAAACTTCCATTTATCGAACAGTGAAAGCATTAAATTTAAAATGGTATAAGAAGAGAAAATCACAGAAACTCAGCGATATTGATAAAAAAAACCGTGTTAAATGTGCAAAAACATTAAGATCCAAATTAGGTATTAGCAAAAATTCGAACAAGTGGAGATGGAACCGTATTGTCAATTGCGACTTCTCTGATTTATTCACTTTTCAAGGTTTTCAAAATAAAAAAAACGATGGAGTGTGGGCGAGAGAAGGTGAAGAAATTGAAGCTGGCTTAATTAATGCACAAACGGAAAAATTTCAAAAAGGAATTCTATTTTGGGGAGCAATATCATCACAAGGTCTAATACCATCACGTGCACCAATAAATGTTACTCAATGGTTAGAACAACAACGTACTCCATGTGATGATAAACGAAAACGAGTATATTTAACAAGCCAGTTGTACGCCAAATTTTTAACAGAAAAAGCAGCTCCAGCAATCAAGACCGTATTTCGAAAATGTAAACTAAATCCTATTTTTCACGACGACCAAGATCAAAAACAACGAACAATATTAGTAAGAGATACAGTTGCAGCACTTTTTAGTGAACATATAGAACCAGCAGATGGTGATGCTAAATTTGCCGATGTTTGGAGGATAGAAAATGTGTGGGGAGCACTTAAAGAAAAACTCCGTGGGAAGGTATTTGCCACGGTCTTAGAATTAGAAAAGGAAGTTGAAAAAGAATGGCGAAATTTTTCGAAAGAAAAATGTGAAAAAATGATGGACGAAATACCCTATCGATTACAGTTGATTATCGACAATAACGGAGAACATATTCATAAATATTGATTATTTTGTAATATTTCACGTTTTCGAAGAAAGATTCTATTGTAAAATTACTTTTATCGATTGCTAATAAAAATCATTACTCAAGAAAAAAAACACTACAGAAATCGAATGGAAAAATCAATATACTTTAGCCCAGTCAATGGATTTCGTCAATAGCTTTAGCTAGAGAGCTAAAAGTTATAGAAATTAAAGAACATGGATAGATATATATCTGGTAAAAATTTCAGCTCCCTCGGTCCAAAAAATTATAAAAACTGTTGTTAACACAACCGGGACAGTTATTATGAAACACCCTTTATGATATTGTAGTTCAAAATAGGTCACTAAACCTGGCAAACTTAGTCTAATATTCTTTATTTTTTTATATTAAAATTTTCTAGTCCTCAAACACATATTCCATTACATGATGATATGAAGCTTCAACTTAGTGAGGATGAGAATGAAGAAGAAGAAGAAGAAGATGATGATGATGATGATGATAATAATAATAATGATGATAAAATATCAAATGAGAATCAAATGTAAATTGACAATAATTTTCCTTCTTATTTTATAAGTTAATTTTCAATGTTCATTTTAAGTAAAAATCAACATACCGACAGTGATGATCAAGCATCTATTGACAGTGATACGGAGAATGATGATGAACTAAATCGAACGGTTTGTTAAAACTATTTTCTTGTAATAAAAATTGTAAAAAAAAACAAATATTTTTCTTTTTCAGAATCCAAATACATTATCATTAAGTGATTTTATTCCTGTAAAACATTCACCAGTAGAATCATCAATTGATAGTCGAAAACGAAGTTTATCATCATCAATGCCATCTCAAGAAATAAAACAAAATAAACGTAAAGAAGAATTAATTAAATCATTTTCATCATCTGTAAATATTCCTATTGATATTAAACAACCAACACTTCCTATAACCATTCCTACATATTTATTTTCTGATCAGTCTATTAAAACGGAAGGTGAAAAGAAAAAAAACAAATAAATATTTTCTTATTAATTATTTATTCATAGATGATCAAATTAGTGAAAAATCACAAAAAACACTAAAAAGATATGCGAGTGGTACAATTAAACAAGAAACAAATACACAGATGATTGATAATTCTAATACGACAAATGGTACACAACAAAAAAAGAATAAAACTAGTCATTTATACAAACAAGAGCCAGCTATTTGTTCAACAACAATACGCGTGAAAGAAGAATCAAACATTATGTCAAATGTTGTGTCATCTAATGATATATTATCTACTGGTAACACGACTACTATTGCACCAATATCAGATCAGCCAAAGAAAAAACCAACAGCAAAGTCAGTTTGAAAAAATTACTTATTAAATTTGAATCTCTAAAATTTGATTTCAACTAAAAAATATTCAACTTCTAAATAATTTCATGATTGCAATTTAGATTTCGTCTTAATTGACAATTAGTTATAAACATGTGAAATCATTCGTACCATAAAAATAATATTCATTCGAACTGTAGCAAAGAGAACAATAAAAATAAATGTCAGTTATTGAATTTTTGACAATTGATGAACGAACATCTGCAACAGGTTGTCCTGAATCAAACACATTGTCTGCTGATTTTTAGGACTCGGTGAGAGTGCCCAGATGAATGAGATACTGCCTGAAAATAGTAGAAACTTGGAAGTAGAAATTTGTTCAGCGGATGGAACCGGCTACCGGATATGATCACCGGATTCTTGCTTACGACTTCCTACCATTTTCTGAAGTTTCCCGGCTGAAGACACCATGTTTGTTGTGGATTATCGCCGGAAATCTATGTATCCAGGTGCTGAAATCATTTATCTGAGTGGTGGATTCTTCAAAAGTATTTTCAGTCATACCTTGTCGTTTCGAAGTTTTAATCATTTTACTGAATTTTCCATTTCAAGCAGGCTACCTGATACAAAATCGAATGATGCATGTCTGATCTCGAAATTCTGCCCATGAGTAGGTTTCATCGTTTATTAGAATATTTTGAAAGTTTTACTTGAATAGTACAATTTCTTTTCCAGATATTGAAGGATCAAAAAAAAGTTGATTTGTTTATGAACTAAAATCATGTTTTTCTAGTGAAACTTTCACAGTCATTTGATAAACGATAAGATCTATTCATGAGCAAAATTTTAGATCAAATCTTCACTATGAGAGCTTTTATCGAGTAGTCCGCTTGAGATCGAAAATTCATTAAAACAATTATAGTTTTGAAACGAACATAACCGAAAGAAAGATAAACAAATTTCTTTCGATGATCTCGACCAATATTCTTTTCATTCGCTATTTGGATATATATCGCATAGAGATAGTGCATGTATCATCTCAGAATATCACTGAAAGTGATGTCGTCGAAATAGCAGATCACCAAAGTTCAACGAAGTGACTTTCAATGAAATACATACTGATCTTGTTAACATTGGATATACGTATGTAAAATGAGTTACATTCCTCAGAATTTTCTAATAATTTTAAAATCTATTAATAATCAAAAGTCTGTATTTGTTTTATCAATAACTGATAATCCAAAAAGCATTATAACTTCGCTGAAGGATAAAATACGAAGACGAATCTAATCATTGAAAAGACTTTAATAAATTCGAAATTTTTGAACTCAAACTCGACACTTTCTATGATTCAGTTTATTTATTTGACTTGAAAAATTCTGTTTTTCAGTGTTAGACCACTTTTACAAACTGCAACAATTGATAATTTATCGTCAATAAATAATAATACAAATGTTCTTACTACACCTGATCGTTTAACAACAGCAACTAATGCTTCAACAAAATCCTACTATAATAACTTAAAGTACAATTATTCAAAACTTAATTCTATGATTATAATTATATTCCTTTTCTCGTTTCAAATAGAAATATGTCAACAAAAGAATTAAATTCTTTAGCTCGAGAAAAAAAGAAACAAGCTGATGGTGAAAAACGAACATTCGAAGATGTTAAACAATCGATGTCATTATATCTTGAATCTGTTTGTTATTTTATTCAATGTGCTCATGATGAACCGATATTAGAACAACGTACTTCATTATTGGCAGCAACATTATCAATGCTACAGTTAGTCATTGAATTTAAAATAAAAGAAAAAAAAAATTTCTTTTTTCTTCCTTTTAGACATCTTGTATTTAATTATGAAAAAATGTTTCATATATCTACAAATCAATCAATAGATTCATTAAATAATATTCGACAGAAATTTCTTTTAATTAAGTAAAGAAAATTTAGTGAAAAAAAAATTTTTTTTTTACAATTCACTTTTTATTTGTTTTAGTTATTGGCTTCAATCTTTAATTTATCAATTACAATATAATGCAAATTTACCAATAATTGAACGATGTGTTCATCAAGTAACAGAATATTTTAATCATTCAAAATCTCCATCAGATACAAATCATAATTTTATATATGAATTTTCAAAATATATGTTACATTCATATAATTCAAATTATTATTGGAATAAAGCTGATCGTTTAAAGCGTGAAGAACCATTAAAAAGTGAAAAAAATGATAATTTAATTTTTTTTCTTATGAAATTAATTTTATTAATTTTTTTTGTTCTTTGATTTAGAATTTAATGAACAGTTATTAAAACAAAATCAAAATCGACGCTTAGCACGTGATGATACAACATTAGATTTTTTATTGTATATTTTTGATGCGATTGATTTATTACGTGTAACTATTGTTTAAGAGAGTCCATTTTTATATATTTCAAACATCTTCCAATTTAATTTCAACATAGACGCACTCCGGTTTAGCTTCTGTTTTATATAAATATATTTGTGGTAGAGGTGAATAGATCTCGATTGATATATTTTTTGTTCCGGAATTATAATGATTCCATTTGATTTATGTATGTGTATAGTTTAAAATATTGAAAAATATTATAAGAGCGATTTGACAGTTTTTTGTTTGTTCAAAAGAATCACATTTATTTGCAGCGAAGAGTTTTTTTTTTAAATATGTTAATGTCATGTGCTTGCTGTATGGCGCATATTTTCTGATCAATTTTTTTTGTCTTACTGATGTATTTCTGCCTGCTTCGTTTTTAAGTTTCTCTATCTCCTGAATGTTATGTTTTGAATGCGTGTAGGATGATAAAATTACAAACTTAAATCATTCTATCTTTTCTTATTTCTTTATGTAGACATGTAGCTTACGCTTTCTTTTCTCCCATCTTTCGTTCGGAATAAAGACAATCGACAACTCCGGTGGTTGATATACTGCTGATATTGACTCATTTTAGAATGTCCCTAATTGTGTATATGTCTTTCACATACCATCAGATTTGTTTTTTTCACTCTTTTACTCCCTCTTTCTCTTTTTCTTTGTCTCTCTCTCTCTCTCTCCCTATCTGTGTATTTCTCAATATATTATCTAATTAGTTTATTGTTTGCCCACATGATGAAAAAAAAATGTATTTATTCTTAATTATTCTTTTAAAAGAAAGTAACATGGAAACAATGGAGTGTTTAACAATTGTTCTTGTTATAGATATTGTTCTTTCTCTTTTTTTTTCTCATTATGATTTATATAAACAAAAAACAAAAAACGGACCAATAAAAAAAAATGGATAAACATTGAGTTCTTTTTTCTATTTATTTCGTTTGTTTTAGATTTTGCATTTTGGGACAACCAACTTCGATCATGACGCGTGGCAATCAACGGTACAATTAAATGTTAATCCTTAAGAATAATCGATTTTGTTTCTTTTCTCCTAGCGAACTTGCCAGAGAAAAAAATTTTAAAAATCAAAAAAATAAAGGACATTCAGTAGCTGACACTGAAACTAATAAAGGTCTATCATTACAAGAACGTCAATTACGAGATGCGGCGAGGTATATAAAATTCATATACATGAAAACAAAAACAAAAAAATTTTAATTTTCTATTTAGAATGCGTGAGAAACAACAATTAGCTGAACAGAAGAAAGCAACTGGAGATAATAATGCGTCAGATGGAAGTGGAGCGGCTGCGTCAGCTCGTTGAGAATGATATATAATCAAGATACTTCATATGAACTTTTTGCCTATATTTTTCTTTTTTTCTTTTGATAACAAAAAAAAACATTCTGATCTTGTTTGTCTAAGTTTTATTAACATAAACTTAATCATATTTTTCTTATAAATGTCTAACTAACAACTTCATGTTTGTTTTTTGTTAGACATAAATTCACATGGGTGTTGTATAATTATATTCTTTTCAATTTAATGAAAATGTTCGTTGTTGATATGATGTTAGTGAATGAAAACATCTGATGAGGGAGCCTCTTCAAGTGTCAAATCGTATTTTCGATCAAGACAATGTTCATTTGTTGAGTACTAGGAAGTAATAAAAAGGTCTAGAATGACTTGATTATCTAGGCCTTTATTTTTGAGGTATCGAAATTTTACTGAGTTTTTCAACAAAAAGCTGTGGTCCTCTCTCAAGCCATTTAAGAAACCGAATTTTGACTTCAGATTTTGTATGAACAAAGTTTCCAATAAGTTTAATTTATTGTGCAAGTTTTAGTTTTTTTAGTATCTCCTATTTTGAGATATTCTCTCATGTGTAGAAGTAACTTTTGTTCATATATTTATATCTCTAGAAAAGAAATACTAGTTGCACAATCAACAAATCTCATTAAGAGCTTGATTCGTGCAAAATTTGAAGTTGAAAGTCGGTTTTCCACGTGACTTGAGGAGAACTATAGATTTTCATTGAAAAATTTCGATATTTCAAGAGTGAAGACTTGGAAAACTAAACCATTCTCTGAGGTTTTCCGTTACTCCACAGTATTCATTCATTGAACATTATCTCAATCCAAAAGCTATTCGACACTTGAAAAGATTTCTCCTTGAGTCGACTAGTAATTTGATATGATACAAGATTCAACATGTTTTTTCCTATGATTTCGGACATATATCTAATTCATACAATTTGTTGTTAAAGCATTTAAAATGAATAGAAAAATTAAATGAAAATCAATTCATCTTTCAATACTCTATTGTCTAATTTAATGATTGAAATAAAAAAGTTTGAATTGCTTTAAATGATAATCATTTTTATCTCTTTCAGCTTTATATCTATAAAATGAATGTATTATTTTTTCGACGTTACAAATCATTTCTTCTTAATATAACATCTGCATCAGGTCTTCTAACTCTTGGTGATTATTGTGCACAAACTTTCTATGATAAAAAGAAAAATTTAGACAAAAAACGTTTATGTATGATCATCATTCTATTTGATATCTTCTATTAATTTAATTTCTAGTCGCGGCATGTATGACTGGAATAGCGTTGGGTATTGAAGGACATGTTTGGTATAAATTTCTTGATCGCGTTATAGCTCAAGCAACATGGCGTAATGCATTTAAAAAAGTTCTATGTGATCAAATTGTTGCTGCACCTATTTATACAACTACATATATTATTGGTAAGATCAAAATTTTCTAAAATATTGATTTATTTCAAATAGATTACTTATGATTTTAAGGTACATCAATTTTGGAAGGACGAACATCTTTCCATACATTACAAAGTGATACTAAAAAAAATTTTCTTCCACTTTATATAGCCGATTGTGTTGTTTTTATACCTACTCAATTAGTTAATTTCAGATATATATCTGCATATTATCGTGTTCCATTTATGTTTGTTATTTCATTTATTTTTAATGCATTTCTTAGTGCCTATAAACATACACATGAAGGACATGAAAAATAATTGATTAGTTTTGTTCTTAATCCTGTTTTTTATATTATTATTAGTGTTAAAGAAAACAAAATTTTAATTTCAAGAAATGATTCGTATAAAAATAAATGATTCGAGAATTTAATTTTAGAATGAATTATTTATTTAAATGATTGCAAGAAGAAAAAAATTACAAAACATCTGAAAATCTAGACCATCAAACGCTGAACTTCGTGATCAAATGTTTATTGATGAAGTAATCGTCCTCCACTGAACAATTCATGAAAACTCTATCAATTATATATTTTCATACGAATGCCATGAGACTCAAAGAAACATACATATACTTTGCATATTACTATTTTGAACTCTGACTTATTCATTAAGCCCTTCATATCTTGGTAAATCAAAGTATTTCTATCTTCAAATTTTTATTATGGAAAATTGTTGCTCTGGCAGGTCCTAGATATCACTGTCATCCTGCACTAATTCATCATCGCAACGTGTCAAACAAGATAAGAAACGATCTTGTACTTCGTTATTAAGTTGAAACATGCAATCCTTCCTGCTGATCAACAACTAGTGATACCATTTTTGTCCTTACACGTATTGTTTTAAGAGACAAAAAAAGGAGTAAGAGTGAAATGTGCAAGAACAACAAGCTCATGAAAAAAATGTGTATGTTGCAATATACTGCTGATTGCATTTCACTTCAATAGGTATATAATCTAATTCCATCAAATACATGTTGCGATGATGAAATTAGGCGAACAATAGAGAAATCTGTTGTTTGTCAGAGCAACAAATTCTATTTTTTAATATAATAAAGAATATGAATACGATGCAGTTCAGTCAAGTACTTCGATATACTCGAGCTATATAAAGATCAGCTAAAAATGTTCAGAGAATGTGCTCTATCAAATTAGACTTATCAATCAATTGATTTAACAACTGTTATACGTTTATAGATGAGTAAATGTCCTTGCATACATAGTCTATCTTTATGCCATTTTTTTTTGAAGAAAAAGTCCCTCTAGTATCAGAAGAATTCTTTTTCCCGATGCAACTTTATCGTCCTTGGAACTCGATCCGATTAGTATGGATCAATTACTTTTTTTGATGACGCTAAGTTGTAATAAAGAAAGTTTTCCTTCTAATTAAGACACATGACATATGTTCCGTCTGCGTACTTGGACTTTTCTTTTTCCTACGTTTGTAATGACTGACATGATAAGCCAAAGATAAAAGTCGGCATGTGTTAGACGATGAAAATAGTTTTTGCCTCTAGGTCCATTTTGTGGTTACGACAAAAGTTTAATATCTGTTCTCGTTAGTGTGAAAATTATTGCTAGTCTTCTTAAGATTACACTATTACAAACGGATATACATACATCGATCGAAAACGTTCGAGCTCTATTGGACTCGTGCTATAGATTGTCTTCATATTGCAAAGTTTGGTCTATTCTTGACTGTTTTTCACTAAAGAGAATTTCAGTTTAAACATTCATAAGAAATACTATTCTTTGATTTCTTCTGAATGGTTTAATCCATAAAAATATTTAGTTTTTTTTTTATTTGAATGAGATCTTTGACCATCTAACCCATTATTCCAGAACATTCTTGTTTGAAATATTTATTTAATGATCTAAACTTAATCGAGCAATAGATGTCAGATGTAACTAGATTTATTCATTTCCTTGACATTTAGCCAATAGAAAAATACAATTAGACGTTGATTGAAAACCATTATATTAAAACAAGGAAGTGATAATCTTTCTTTTTTTATTTTTTTTTATTTTCCTTATATTGATGAAAAACATGATTATAAAATAATCGAAAAAATTCTTTAGATATAACAAACAAAAGGCATCAATAATGATTGATTAATCTTATTGTTCATCGAAAGTTTCATACAATGAAATGATTGAATATCTTCGTACGTTGTAAATATTTTATTTCTTGAAACAATAAAATTATTTTCGGGATTTTATTTCATTAGATATGATGAATATATTTTTTAATAATTTACAATTATTCAAAACAAATAGTCATCGTTCTAAATGAACTTTAACATTTTTATCAAACAAACAAAATTCTCGAATTACAATTTATTGACATTGATCTAAAAGAATAAAATCAATAAAATGTTTTTCTTCTTTTATTTCAAATATACAAAAAAAAAAGAATCATTAACAATTTTTATTGTAGAAATCTTAAAAAATAAACAAACTTATTCGTATGTCTACATCGATGCAACCACCAACACAACTTACTCGTGATGAAACGCGTATATTAGAAGCATGTGAACGAGAATCATTTATTTATCGTAGTTTACCATATAGTGTTTGTACATTTTTTGCAATACAATATGCTATGTCAAAAAATATTATTTCAACAAAAGCAAAATTGTTTAAACTTGGTGCTGGCGTATTTGTTGGTTATATGACTGGAAAATTCTCATACGCAATAGCTTGTCAAAAGAAAATTCTAATGGAAATTCCTGATAGTAATTTGGCAAAAATGATTCGTGGTGTTGAAAATCGACAAATATCAGATATTGATATTGATAATCATGAGCAAAAACAAATGAATAATTTGAATGAAATTGTTATACTTGAATCAGATAATCATTTAACATCAGTGGGTACTAATCAATATGGTGATCCAATTTATAGGACAAATAAATAACTGAAATGTTTTTTATTTCTAGATAAAATATCTATAAACCTCTTTTTCGAGTTTCTTTTTTTCATTTATTTGCCGATATATTAGATTAGACTTAGAAGAAATGTGTTCAAAGGCTTACAAAAGAAAAAGAAACTTATATATATGTTGTGAACAAAGTTGGTATTAAGCCAACACTCGAATTCACCAAGGCAAATTTGAAATTCTAGTATCATGTATAATCGTTTCAGATAAAGTTAGAATTTTGCTTTTGACCAAACGAACTTAAAATATTTTTTTCGTGAACTGGAAAAGTTTAAGAAGGATATACAATTATAGTATATAAAAAAAGGTGTATTTTTTTATTTTATAATATAATATATTTCAACTATCTTGAGAATAAAACTGAATGTATCTTTTCATTGTCACTCTTAGTCCCTAAACCTCAGTCAATCATCTGTTGATACTCGAATTTTTTTGTTTTTCTTTAATTTGTCTAATTTATAAAAAATTTATTCCAATGTTGTGTGATCAATAGTGGAATTCTAATTTTATCTGAAATGATTATAAACGAAATTACAATTACAATTTTGTCTAAATGAACAAGAATCTTATCCACATTATATATTCAGTAAGACTTATCGCTCTTTATCAATTGATTGTATGCATGATTAATCTTTATTAGAATTATCTAGACAATTTATGCTTCTATATACATATTTTAATGTATATTCATAATTATGTTGTCGTATTTTTTCGGTTCGATAAACTTTAAATACGATAGATAGATAGATCAAAGGCGAGTAATGTTTTTTTTTCACACGATAGACTTTTATACTTAATACAACATGTTTCGATGGTATTCTATTCATCTGCTTTTGATTACGTATGAGAATGGAAATAAACGTCTGTAACTAAATCCATTCGCCAGATGATTTATATGAAAATGTACAACGCATGTATGTTACATAAGTATTCTATATAGATTGATAGATATTCTTTCACTGAAAAAAATTCACCCTTTTATCCATAGAAGGTTTTGTGTATATATTCATTTGAGCGCATTATATAAATAATAACGATATTCTTCAAATCTATTCATAAATCAAAAAAGATGAAGAAAGAAATGTAGTAATAATAGAAGTTAAATAAAAGAGGCTGAAGTATTTAAAGTATTTAAGTGTTTCTTTAAAGAAAAAGAAAATCGATTACATATAATAAAATGGTTTCACATTGCATTGCTTCCCATGGGTTTAGTCTTAATTGCACACTATATTAAGATAAATTTTTCTTGTCAAAATATAACGAGGGAGAGATAATTGACGACATATACATTGTTTTCTTTTTGTCATTTTTCTTTATTCGACATGAAAATATTTTCTAAGCAAAGATGACAAGAAGACCGGTAATGTTGTAAATGTACACAGAACAATTTATTAAGTCGCTTTTTCTTCCGTATTATCAGTCACGACAGAATGTCGGTCAGTCATCTAACTTGTCTCGCCTACTATTTTTTATCTTGACACTGACCGATCAACCACTATCACCCTTCTAGCTCTTATTCTTTCTTTTTTCTTCTTCTTCTTCTTTTCTGTTTTAGCATTTTTCGTTCTGTTAACGACATCAACGATATAAAGCAGACAGAACGAGAGAAGTTCTGGCTACTGACGATATTCTTTCATGTCGACAACAAATGATAACAATCAAGTAACAACTGCAGCAGTATGTAAAGGCAACGAATAGAAACGAACAATGCAAAAAAAACAAGAACAAGAAGAAATCGTGCTAATAACTACCATAGAACTGCAATAGCAACGCATACTTCATTGTTCTGAACATTTATCCGTTGCAAAGTCAATGTACGTGTTGTACAAATATTTATAGAGTGAAAAAAAAGAAAGAAAGAAGAGAAAAGAACCGTCTACGTATTTCACTTCACCAATAAGTATGATGATCATGCTTCAAGCACGTTGTCGACCAAAACGTTGATCCTTCTCATATCATAAAACAAATCATGTTATTTCAAAATCTCTTCTTTTTCGTTTTATTCTATCCAACAGTGGTGGAAATGGTAAACAATCTTTATCTTCATTCTCTTCATCTAATTTGTTTTTACATTTAGGTAAGATTTAATGAGCACCATAAACGTCGTCATATGTCTTTGTCAACAATACATCTAGTAAAATTATATCTCTATCTGTCTAAAACTAAGTAATATATTTTTATTATTTATAGAATTTAACTGTCAATGCTGTTTATAATAAACTTAATCAACATTCATTAAATATAAATAATACACGTATAATTAGTATTGAACCATATAATAAAGTTTGGTTTTCAATTGAAAATGGAACAATTTATGCATTGCCATTATTTAGTGATTATTCAGGACCATTTAAAATTCAAATTAAAAATCCAAATTTTATTGAATTAAAATTAAAATTTAATTTTTCACCATCATCATCATTATTTTCACCATCAAAACATCTTTTACTTGCTTTATTTAATATATCATCAATAGCATTTAATAATTCATCATTAAATCGTTATTTTATCATTCAAACATTATCATTAGCATTAAATTTAAGTGATTCATTATTAACAATACATAAAATAAATGGTTCAATGATAAAAGTTTATTTTTCATGTGATTTATATTCATCAAAAGATCTTTCATATCAAATACAAACATTAATTAATTATTATTATTCTAAACGTCTAGAATTAATGACATATTTTTCATTACCATTAATTGAAATTTCAATTGTTCGATTATCTAAACAAATAACAACAACAACACCAATTGTTGAAATAAAAAAAGCATTTATGACAATACGACCACGTTTATTTAATAATCAAACAATTATTTCATCAAGAAATAATCTTATTTTTTTTGATCAATTTTATCAACCACTTGTTATTGTTCCATTAACAATAATTTTAATTGGTTTATTAATTTGTACAATAATTGCATTTTGTCTTTGTTGTAATCGTCATACACCATCATCATCATCAACATTACTTTTATCAAATGGATCATTTATTAATCCACATAATAAACATTTATATCAAAATTATTCATATCAACAGCATCGACAACAACAAGAAATTTATAGAAAAAAACATTATGTTAAAGATCAAAAAGAATTTATTTCTAAAGGTGAATTATTTTCTATTAAAATAATTGTTTTATTTCTTAATATTGAAATTGTTTTTCTTCTTTTTTTTATTTTGTTTTATAATAGGCATTCCTGTAGTATTTGCTGAAGAACTTGAAGAAAAATTAGAACAGACACATACACCTTTAGTTATGCGAATTGAAAAAGCACCATTCTATAATGAACAGGAAAAAACTGAATTGGGAAAAGTCATGCTTTGAATGAATACTTGATTTTGTTTGGTTGTTGTTTTTTGTAGATTAGCAAAAAGTTTCTCTTTTTTTTATTTCATCTCATTGAAAAATACTGAATGTGTGTTTGTAATAAGTGAATATTTTCATAATATTTCTTTATATACTTCTGTAATTAACTCAGGTTTTACATTTTGTTGTGTCTATGTACAAGATATATCTTGAGCTATCAAACAAATTAGAAGAATTTCTTTTCTATTAATTCTTCTTTTGGTGCTTCCATTATTTGAAAGTATTTTATTCTCTATGCATACGAATATTTCTACTTGTGTAAATGGTATTATATTATCGTTGTTGTTTTTTTGTTGTTTCTTATTTCAGATATGAAAAGGATTATTGCTAGTCTGTTTCAACAAACAAAAATTAATTTGTCAAGTATATGTATTAAACAACAACAACAGAGATCAATTCAAACATCTACATATCATTTTGCTAGCGTTGAAGAAGTAACTTTTGGTTTTTATACATCAGAACTCCGAATAGGACGAGAAAATCGTTCAATGAGATCAATTGATTTATTGAATTCCATCCTATAGGCTCTAAGTAGAGATATGCAGCACCGAAATTTGAGGTTTGCCAGAATTAGGACTACGAGAAAATAGTTGTTCCAACCAGAACTGAAGATTATATTTAAATATCTTAAAGTTTCAAGCGAATTATCTTATAAATCATATCAATTAGAACATCATTCAAGAGAGATGACCCTAAAAGTGCTAGTCATCGACGAGGTAAATCAAAAAACGAGTATTGAAGAGTTTTTTTTAGATGTGATACGAATAAATTCTGGAAGTTTTCTCTAAATAGTGATTGGAATTACTAGGAAAGAAGTTATTAGGACGAAAAAAAACTGCTCTTACACCCCTTTTTAGTTCCAAGGAACGATTGTTCGTATTTCATGTTTAAGTCGAAATCGCTCTGACTTGCTGTAGCGTTCTTGAATAATTTAGACTTTCTAGATTTTATATGCTTTTTCAAAAACAATTTGAAAATAAAATACAAGTGATCAGAGCGACGATGAAAAAATTAGGAAAGTCAAGACTTGCAACTCTATTTGATCTAGGATATGAGAATTTTTACGAACTTTATCGAATATGATATTGAATTCATCGAAGTACATTTAGATTCGTTTAAACTTACTGAACTCTGACAGGATTTGTGATCCACTAGTTCTCTTTAAATATTTAAACGTCATATCTCAAGTACTAGAAAGAAATAATATTACTTTTCCAGTACATTTTCTATTCATGAATTCTTAGCTTCTGATGAGTTCACTTAGTTATCTCAGACTGTTAATGGTCACTAAAGATTCTTTCATATTTTAGTGCAGTATGATGAGTTTCTTCATAATTTTTGTCGACTTTAGTAAATTCTGTAATTGTCAAAGTTCAGTAGAATCCATGAGGATTTTCTATATATCCTTTAGTATTCTCTAAATAAAACTTATAATAAATTGTATTGAACATTAATTTGAAGTGAAGACCATAAAAATCCCCTATGGTCACAACATTTTATTCAAATAATCAACAATTACGGTGAAGGAGTATTCAACATTGTTAAATCCCCCTAAAGCACAACACTTCACAAAATCAGTGCTATTTTTCATTGTTTAAACTTCTATAGAAATGTTAAAAGTGTTGACGTAAAACAAAACAACCAGAAAGAAAAAAACGAAACTTTCTATTGATGAAAGAGGTCAGCAATAAAAATATAATAAGTCCTAGTACCCATCGTACCTATAAAGTATATAGAGTTCATATTTTATCAAACAAAGTCTATATTTTATAATGAAGAAAAAAACAGAAAGGAAATTTCAGTAGACAATAACTTCATTCCATCGCATTCCATTCGGAGCCCTGTTAAGTATTCATATAAAATAGTTATCATTTATTTTATAGCAAGTAAAAGAACAACAAAAACGAAATGAAGAAGTACAAGATATGCCAGAATTAGTCCGAGATTTCCTTGATCCAGCTGAATTTTTTCAACAAGTCAAATCGATCTGTGGTATAAATTTTTTTTGTGGTGTACCTGATTCATTGCTTAAAGGTATGTTGATACATTTCAAATAAAAAAAAAAAGGCAAAATCTATTTATTTGATTTAGATTTCTGTGCATATGTAACAAAAAATGTTCCATCAAGTCATCATGTTATTACAGTTAATGAAGGTCCTGCTGTTGGTCTTGCTTGTGGTTCATATATGGCAACAGGACAACCTGCATTAGTCTATTTACAAGTAAATATAAACTTTTTAATTCAAATAAATCTAACTGTTATTTTTAGAATTCTGGTCTAGGCAATATTGTTAATCCTATCATGTCTCTTGCAACACCAGGTGTTTATAGTTTACCGATGTTATTATTAATTGGTTGGCGTGGTGAACCAGGTAAGCGCGATGAACCACAACATCGCATTCAAGGGCCTGCAACACCTGGTATTCTTGGTAAGAAAAGTTATTAGTACAATCCTTGTGAAAGGCAAATGTGAAACACGATGTAGTCATCGTTGATAATCATAGAGAGATAACCTACATATGTGAAGTCTTTGCATGATATGTCTGATCAATTCTCGTTTAGTTATAAGTCATCAGAGAGAATCTAAAGTAATCAACTAGAATTCGAATTTGATAGTTCTTCTAGCTTAAAATTAATTCATTGAGAATAACTCTTTGATAGAGGCCAAAATTGATGTTCTTACAAAACGCTGAATTAAAATATATTGGCAAATATATTTGTTCATTTTTTTTGAACGCTTAAATGCCATTTCAGAAGATCAAAAGCAGTCAAATAGAACTAGAATTAGATACTCTTTCTAAACGGATATTCAAAGTTGCTTTACTAACTTATGATTAACTAATTGGCTGTGAGAGCAAACATTTGAATAAATCAAAAATTTTGTTTGCACTAATCAAAATAGACTTTTTTCTGTTATTCAGAACATCTTTGAATGAGTTTTTTAGGATAATTTTGACATTCTAGTATTGTCCAGAATTTAATTTTCTACAGAATCATACATTAAAGTAAGCTATAACTAAAAAAAGAATAAAACATTCTATATACACTTTTTGAACAGTTATGTTTTAGGCAAGACGGTGACTTTTTAAAAAGATTGCTTCTTTCGAATTTCGATATTGAGGATCCAACAGATTTGAATTGTTTATAGCAATATGTAAACAGGAAAATGCATGAAGTATTTTGTAGAGTAAGTCTCGCTCTACGACTTAGTGTAACAAAAGACTAGTTTATTGTTTGAATTGAGACAAGTTTTTATCAAAATACAACACTGAACTATACGAGAAACTTTGTACAGGCGCCATTTTTGGTTTCTGTCAAAAGTTTGTTCTTTATAGACTACCTTTAAGCTAAAAACAGATTTCTGAATATATCTATGAAGACAGCATGAAACTTCGATTCTAGCTGAGTATTTTTAATTTTGTATAGTGATGTATAAGTAGACGAAAGTTATCCATGCATGTTATGCAAAAACTTTTTACAGATAGATTAACTTTATATTCTCTCTGTTTTGAGACATATTTCTTTATCATTCTGTTACTTAATCCTTCATAAATGCAATAAGGAAGTAGTTCATATAATATAATGATACAGTGTTAATATACAGTCTATCAACAATGTCTGTCACGTTCTGTAGAAGGATAGGAGGGTCCAAACTTTTACTCTTATACTTCAACATTCCTTTTATATCGTGTTTTTCAAAATATTGTTTGTTAAAATATTAATTGAATATTTTATTTTCATAGCTGCACTTGGTATTCCTTTTCAACCATTACCGGATTATCACGATGGTGCTGGTCAAGCACTTGAAACAGCTAAACGTTATATGGAAACAGCAAAAGGTCCATATGCATTACTTGTTAAACGGCAAACATTTTTACCATATTCATTACCGAAAAGAAGCGCAGATCTAGAAGCGGGGTAAAAATTCAATTTAATTTTGTTCAAATTAATGGAAAATTACAATAAGATTTTTATTTATAGATTAAGTTTAACACGTGAAGAAGCTTTACAATGTGTTATTAGTCATTTTCAACATCGAGATGTTGTTGTTGGTACAACTGGAATGCTTAGCAGAGAATTATTTGAACTTCGAATGAAACGTGATGATGGACATGAACGAGATTTTTTAACTGTCGGTGGAATGGGTCATGCATCGTCAATAGCATTAGGTATTGCTATACAAAAACCAAATCGAACTGTAAGTTAATTTATTGCTTTTTTGTTTTCGTTTTGTCTTAAATTTTAAAATAAATATTTGCAAGATATATTGTTTGGATGGTGATGGTGCTGTTTTAATGCATATGGGTATATTAGCAAATATTGCTGCAGCTGCACCATCAAATTTCAAACATATTGTATTTAATAATGGGACACATGATAGTGTTGGTGGTCAACCAACAGTTGCTGGTGATCATAAGCAATTTTCATTGTGTCACATAGCTCAAGGTTGTGGTTATAAACATGTAATGATAGCAACAAATCAAAATGAAATAAAAGAAGCAATGGAAAAAATGCGTACAATTAATAATGATGGTCCAGTTTTACTTGAACTTCGAATTAAAACTGGTCATAGAAAAAATTTAGGCCGACCAACACGATCAACAAATGAGAATAGAAAAGATTTTATGCATTTTTTACAACTTAGTTAAATATTTTAATTGATATTTTGTTTTTGTTTTTCTTTCATTTTATTGTTTTTTTTTATGATCTGTTATTATTGACAAAACAAAACAAAAATATCTAAAAATTAAATTAATATATATATATTAAAATTGTTGTTTTTTTTTTGCTTCAAAGATGCGTAACTCATTAGATGATAAAGAAATTACACGTGAATTATGGCAATCACGTTTACCAATATGTTTTATTTTATCGGATGAAGACAAAAGTAGAATTAATCGGTCAGAATCACCAGAACCGCTTTATTTAATGCTTGCACGTCATAGTTATTTTCCATGTATTATTGAAAAAATTCAACGATATTATTCAACTTATTTTAGAGAAAATCTAAATGATACAACAAATTGTGTTAATCTTGCTAATTTATGGCTTGAATATGAAAGTATTCCACTAAAATGGCATTATCCTATAGGAGTACTTTATGATCTTTATACATCATCCCTTTCATCAACATCATCTTATTTACCATGGCAAATAACTGTTCATTTAAGTAAATTTCCTGAGGGTGAAATACTGCGTTTTCCCGATAAAGAATCGATTGAAGCACATTATATGTCAACAATAAAGGAAGCTGATGCACTTAAACATAAAGGACAAATAATAGGTGATATGCAAAAACGTGATCATAAACAATTATGGAATTCTTTATTACAAGATAAATATGATGGATTTTGGAATATAAATAATAAATTAATGAATTATACAGACAATTTACAATATTTTCGTTATATACCATTTCGCATTTATATCTTAGATAAACCATTTATACAAAAATTATTTTCACCATTTGATATTGAAGAAGAAAGATGGATGACATTAAATGATTTACTTTATTTTGCTTTAAATCATGAAGCACAATGTGAACAATCAGCAAATGAAAAAAAAATTTTAAATACAAATATAAATGAGTATCAAGTTATTATTCATGGTATACAACCAGCACTTCAAACACCAATACAATGGCTTAGTGAAAATTTTTCTTATCCGGATAATTTTCTTCATATATGCCTTATTGAAAAACGTTCATAACTTTTTTCCATTTTATTTTATTTCTAAATTAACTTTATTTTATATATCTGTCCGCATGTAATTGTTTGTCAAAATTCTTTATGTGATGTAATAACTTAAGAAAACCGAATAAATTTGAATATTATATGATCAGTATGATATAAGTATATACTAGAACAATGCGATCATAGGCGTTTCTGTTCTGATTAAACATTGAATCCAAAAGTTTGCCTTGTGCACAAATTTCGACAATACCTTACAAGACAAGATTTCAATGGAGAACAATAGATTTAATATTTTCTCAGACTTATAATTAACCTTTCTTCCTGAGATATGGTAATTTTTAAGATAAATATTTCACTATCTAAATGAAACAATTGAATACATGGCCTTAAAGAAATTCGAACAGATGAATAGATCTCCAAACTCTTAGGAATGCAGACAAATTAAAAAAACAAAAATATTAAATAAACTATTATCCATTTAAAAAAAAAAGACCCGTGGCCCTTTTTTGAATAACTTTTGATAGGAACCAGATAGAGAGGTGCGGTTTTCGCCACTAGAAAGAGAAGACTGAGGCACATCAATATATGCTAAAATATGATTGGTTAGCAATGGACCAATCAGGTGCATTCTCAATGGACATGTTAAGCCCTCTTCTCTGGAGCCATTTCTCAACTTAACTGTATTTTTTAATTTAGTTATTGGTAGGAAAAATTGTTCTTTTTCGATCTACGCAAGGCCGACCTTCCTAGCTTGTTCCGTTCAAGAGTTATAAGGGCTTTCCGGAGACCCCTGATTTCAGCCAATTGACCTTGGATCAACCAGAAAACCATCTAGAATGGGGTAATTCATCATGCTGAGTCGAATGGTGATATTAGTTTTTGGATTCGAAATCATCTTACGGTGTTATCTCAATATTTCCAAAATGTGGACTCATGTGATACATAGCGGTAGATATTGTGAAATGTAGAAAATTTCTAAAAAACAGTGTGAGATGGTTTCGAATCCAAAAACAAATATCACCATTCGACTCAGCATGATGAATTACCCCATTCTAGATGGTTTTCTGGTTGATCCAAGGTCAATTGGCTGAAATCAGGGGTCTCAGGAAAGCCCTTATAACTCTTGAACGGAACAAGCTAGGAAGGTCGGCCTTGCGTAGATCGAAAAAGAACAATTTTTCCTACCAATAACTAAATTAAAAAATACAGTTAAGTTGAGAAATGGCTCCAGAGAAGAGGGCTTAACATGTCCATTGAGAATGCACCTGATTGGTCCATTGCTAACCAATCATATTTTAGCATATATTGATGTGCCTCAGTCTTCTCTTTCTAGTGGCGAAAACCGCACCTCTCTATCTGGTTCCTATCAAAAGTTATTCAAAAAAGGGCCACGGGTCTTTTTTTTTTAAATGGATAATAGTTTTGTTTTACAACAATGCCATGATGAATATATTGAAAATCGAAATGATTGATCGTATTCTTTGTCATATCACATCATAGTATAACAACATCTGTGCTGTTTTTTTTTTATTCTCTTTCATTAGTAAAAATAGTATATAATGAGTAACTGATTCATGTCTGTATATGGTATAGTTTCTTTTCCTTTCGTATACCTGATGTATTCTGACTGAATAAAATAAACTCATTGTTGAAATATTACATCTCAACAAGGATGTGGGTATAGCTGTCGGTACAAAGAAGATTGACACCCACACCCTGCATCAACTCCTACTGAAAAAAATATCTGTTAAAAGCTGCTTTATAATGCGTCCATATTGGGTATTGTTAACTTCAAAAACTATATGCTTGCTTACTTGTCTTAAATGTAATAAGATTTTCGTGTAGTTTGGTTGTTTGAAACTTGATAATAATAATAAAATAATAAAAACATTTCTATTCATGACTCTTGCAATCGTTCGATGTCAAAATTGATACATCATTTCAAAAACGACTCATTCAATTTTCTCTAGTAAGGTCTTAGAAAATTTACTCTTAAGTACTCTCGTACTCAGGAAAGTCCATCAACTCTGTTTGACAAAATAAATAATTATTAATAAAAGACTGAAAATGATTGAAGAGTTACTATTGACAATTTTTCGTACAAAATGGTTTCAATCATGGTCACGTTAAATTCTGGATATGCTATCTAGAAAAATGGGTGAATGCAAGTGAGCAACTAAGTGCGGTTGCAGGTTTCAGTGTTCGTTTTACCCACACTGAAAGAACAGAAATGCCGCTTACATAGTCTTATCAAAAGCAATCACAAGATTAAACTTGATATTGCGCCATAGTGATGAAAATATATCATCAATTTATGTAAAAACAAAGCTCAAGGAGTGGTTTGTTAGCTTTCTTATGCGACTTTCACAATCTACAAGTCAAGTTATCATATTCGAATATTTAGAGGGTGAAGTTAACACAATATTTTTATCTACCGTTGGCTACGATAAGTACATGTAAATCAGAGAATCTCGAGACATTTTCTTCATTAGCTTGAGTCATTTTGTCTTTTATCTGAAGACATTTATCAGCAAGAGTATATAAGAAGCACCAAGCCTGTATTTATATTAGCGTTTTTCGACAATACAACAGCAATGAAGGTTTTTACACGGTTAGTCATCGTTTTGACTTTATATGTGATGCATCTGAATATTGTGAATGCAATGAGCATATCCAATACCCGTAAGTTAGACATAACCACTACTACTAGTGAACTCACAACAACCACAACAGTAGCACCAACAACCTCAACAGTAGCACCACCACCAACAACAACAACAACAGTAGCACCACCACCACCAACAACAACAACAGTAGCATCACCACCAACAACAACAACAGTAGCACCAACAACAACAACAGTATCTCCCTTTATATCATCATTTAATAAAATAAATATTTTATTGGCACGAAATGTTCGACTAAAACCTACATCATCACCAAGTGATTATTCCGCGAAAATAACCTGCGATGATCCTAGTATTCTTCCTTATGTTCAAGCCTATGTTACTCCAGATTCGACATTAATTGTTTCAGCAACAACCGATTGTGATGTTCTTATTCAAGCCTTTACTTATGAAAAAATACATATTGACAGTGTACTGAAATTAGCCATGACAGATTATTCATATAAGGGATATCAATTAACATTACTCAGCATGGGAAATTCAGAGATTTAAATATCTAATATTGGCTTTGATTTAGCAGAATTCATTTTCTTGGGCAATGGCTCAGCGAAATTAAGTGGGAATATCGGAAAATTAACTATTGTTAATCGAGGCAAAGGATCCGTTGATGCAACCAATATAGCAACGCCAAGTGTCACCGCTACTCTGACGGGTACTGGCTCACTTCAAGTGAAATCAACAGCTAATATGAATTTGAGCGTCGATGGAGTGGGTAATCTAACCTGGTGTTCACCAAAGGTTCAAATGGATGTACCATTAGATATTTATAAAAAGAAAAATATTTTCTATCAATGTTAAACTATTCAAGAAAATAAAAATTGACCGTCTAAAGAAGTGAAAGCTCGTTCAAGTATTCAGTGAATAGAGCAACATATAGACTTCAATTCCCTCGTCATCAGTAAAAAGTTGCCATTGTACATTCATGTAGCATAGAAATATTAATTTCATTCATTCATATTCAGTTGGGTTGTGTACGAATAAAGGTATAAAAGTATTTCTTACGATATCTTAGAAATGCGATAAGACAAGAGTTTCTGTTCAGTTGAACTAAATGATCTTATGAAACCCATATGAAATATTTATTCAAAATAAATTTAATAATAATAATAACAGCTTTAAATTTCATTTATTATTTTAATTGATATACAATTTATTTAATCATTTCTTTTATTTAACTAATATGTTAATGTTCCAACGGTTTGACTGTCATGGTTAAGCTAGATGTTTTTTATGATTCATAAATGAAAGGATATGAAGTGAAAAAAACATCAAGTGATCATCTGTTTGTTTCTCCAACAAATCTCCTTGGTAGTGTATTATTCATTGATTTACATGCTGACTTTTAGCCTTTCTCGTTTCCATACCTACCAGATAAACTATTCATAGTATAGATCAAATTGTTTTATTTAAAATAGGTTGAGGATGTGGGTGTGTGTCTGTTCTTCTCAGAACGACTCTTATCGATCCACACCCACACCTTCAAGATCCTATTCTATTTTATGTGCAACTTTGCCTTATTTAAACTTATAATATGCACATCATCCTCATCTATTTTTATCTAATCGTTCAACTTTATCCAAAATACAACATGTCACTTCCGATTCTTCATCACAATAATTAAACTCTATTCTTTTCCGTTGTCGAAACTACCTTTCTTGTTTGATTGAAAGACTTTTTCAACTTAATTGAAGATAAAAAATTGTAATTTTGAAAAGAAAATAACTTTCTCTCGACAATAAAGAAAACAATTCATTCAATCCTATACGTAACGTGTTTATTCTTTGAGTTCTTGCTGAACTAAACTGATCCAATAAGCGACACCGAAAGGAATGATAGCATCATTAAAATCATATGTAGGCGAATAAAATTGATATGTAGGAGTTCCATTGCCAATGTACATAAAAGCACCTGGTTTTCGCTCGAGAAATGCTGAAAAGTCTTCGCTACCCGTAGTACGAGCCATATTAGGATTGACTTTTGTAGTACCTACAACACGCTCGGCAGCCTTGACTGCTCGCACTGTCTGTTCAGCATGATTGTCGAGTGCACACACCAATCGATGATATTGCACTTGAGCTTCACATCCAAAACTTGCAGCGAGACCATGTGCAAGTTCTTTGATCCGTCGTTCAATCATGTTTCGAGTCTCTTTTAAAAAAGTGCGTGTAATACCTCCTATGCGAACTTCTTTTGGCAAAATATTAATTGAAGTAAACGAACCGCTCTCCAAAGCACCAACACTGATGATGCCTGAATCGATGGGTGCTGTGTTTCGACTGATTATTGTTTGCAATGACAAAATATATTCTGCTTGAACAATGTTGATATCTGTAGCAAGATGTGGCAGTGCTCCATGACCACCAGTGCCTCGAAATGTCACTATCCACTTATCGGCTGCTGCTAAAAAAGGACCAGAACGCGTGGCGAATTCACCGAATGGCATGTTTGGATCATTGTGAAGACCATAAATAGCATCGAATGGAAATCGTTCGAACAATTGATCTTCGATCATGGCCATAGCGCCGCTTAGACTTTCTTCGGCTGGTTGAAAAATGAAATAAATAGTTCCGTAAAATGTGTCTCGATTCTCTGCTAAGTACTTCGCCGCTCCAAGTAACATTGCTGTGTGTCCATCATGACCACAGGCATGCATGGCGCCTGGAGTCCTTGATGCATATGATAGTTTAGTGGATTCTGTAAGTTGAAGAGCATCCATATCAGCTCGCAATGCGATCGAGTGAGTACCTGGTCGATTACTTTTCAATGTACCGACAACACCGAAAACACCAACATTTTCAGTGACAGTTATTCCCCAAAGTTTAAGTTTAGCAGCAACCAACGCTGATGTACGTTCCTCTTTCATACCTACTTCAGGATTTGCATGTATGTCTTGACGGATTAAGACGAGTTCAGGTTGCATTGTTTTCAGTTGTGCGAATAAAGTATCATCCATTTTCCAGTACAATTCAAACTTTTGCACAGAAAAGTTAATATATGTGTGGAAGAACCATGTGCGGGAATAGAGAATAAAAGCAGCACGCAAATGTTTTTCAAGATAAGCTGTATTGCTTATTTATTGGCCTACCTACGCTCCATTCCCCCGATTACAACGTGTGATTATTAGCGTATGGTTTCTTTCGTTTTCTTCTCGTCGATGCTCCTCTCTGCCTTGGTCTTTTAGTGTATCATGTTCTCCTCAGACCCTGAAGTAAGCACGTTGTTATAGATTCGATCTTCGCTACGTGACAACTGTCATATTGAATACGTCGTCTAGGCCTATTGATTCTTCATGTTATCTAATTATTTGAGTGGTAATGAAGCGGACAAAAAATAATGAAAAAGCGGCACAAAATGGAAAAATTAATGTTTCTAATCAGAGTGTACACGCATAATTAAACAAAGACGCTATCTTGGATGTGAGTGTAGGTATAAGTCTTCTTGTCACCCATATCCATAGCCTTAGGCGCAGTTAAACAGGAATTTGTATATTAAATCAATGAAATGCCCATAATTTACCCCAATAGACAGTTCGATTTTAAATACAAGACGAAATCTACAAAAAAAAACTCTGAAATAAAAAGCAACAACGACAAATTCAACTATATAAATTAACTTTATTTTTGTAAACTATAGACTATTTTTTCTTTTTGTTTTCTTAGATGAAACAACCTAAAATATGTCAATACCACAAGCATCAAAATACGATCATAATGAACCACAATCGGCTGCGTATCAAGAAGCAGAAGTAATATAATTAAATTGAACACTAATAAAATGATACTCATAAGGTGATATAGTCATTATGCTGATAAGAAAAAGACATTAGTTTTGAATACGCTTTGCGTTTGCTTTTTCGCGGAAAAAAGATCCATGATTATTTTCGGAAGCATGACGATTGTGTGTAAGACATTTGTGTGCCGAGAATTATGTTTAAGATGAGGATGGGCGTGGGTTAGAGTGTGGATGAGGGTGGTGTAGGTGTGTTTGTGGGTGTGGGTGGCTGCCAGTATGTGAGTGGAAGTGTAGGTCTGAGTTCAGTTGTGGGTTCTTCATCTTTTCATTATCCTCACACCCACATCAACATCCATTCTCATATTACACATAAATGTCTTACACACTCGTGTCTTACACACAATAGTGATAGACCCATTATTTTCACCTATTGAACTGTACCGTATGCATATGCACACTGAGAAGTTTTACTTTTTATTCTTTTCTATGTGGGACTTGTTAAGTTCTTATTTTTTTTTAAATAACAGACAAAGAAAAGTGAGAAAAGCACTTTCTCTAAAAAAAGATAATCTTAGACAAAAGAAATCTAAAAGGTTAAGGAGTAATCACGCCTAATTTATCGTCATTGGTTAGAATAAGTCTATGTTGAAAGCAACCCATCAGACTGTGTCGGTAACTTTGTAATTCGGTGATTTTTGGTCGTCAGATTCAACTGAAATTCGACTGTCGTAGTTCTTCGAGCATTCTAATTAATCAGGTCATTCAATCCATCATAGAAATTGCAGCAGGTAAGTTTCTTCTGTCTTTCATTTTCGAGTGGTTGTTTTCGATCAATGGATCGTTGACACTTTTCAGTTTGCTATAGACTAAGTTTCATCTAAATGAGGATATATCTAAGCTATCTGAAGACTAGCTTAGGAAAAAAGCATCCGAAGAAATAAGTAACACAAGAAGACGTTGGTAGAGCGATTGCAACAAGGAACCGGATCAGAAATCATCAGGTTGTTGCAATATTTAATGAAGACTTTTTAATTAATTACGATTTTTTCAAAAAAAGTCAACAATATTTGTCAAATTTAACAATTTTCGCCACATGAAAATTCAGAAATGTGATAAAAGAGCACTTTTCTCTGCATTATGTCTGAAAAATAGGTGCGTACATAAATAATTACATCAACATTGCTTGCCATGCATGAGTGAGTATTCATCTGCGTAGTATACTTCGAAAAAAGTATATTCTTTTACCTTTAGTAGAATGAAAAAAAGGACCGAACCAACTATAAAAACTATATGCACCTATTAGCCTCCACAGTATTTTTAGTTTCATTTTCAACCAACGCAAGTGAGTGAGTCTCTTTCTATCTCCTTTCTTGAGAGTAATTCGAAGTATCTTTTGAATAAATATGTTCCTTAGCCAATGACAATATACTCATTCGACAAATGAATGGTTCTGAAGGATTGAATTATTCACTAGCTTTCGTGCTCCATATGATGTATGAGAAAATACACGATTTATTTGTTCTGATAACTATATTCACATATATTTTACGATATTAGCATAAGAAGCAAAATCTTAGTGAAATCAACTACGATATATATATATACATTATCAAATAGCAATGTAATCAGAATCTTGAATATACCTAATATAACACCTCAAAATATAACAAAAATTCTTCATCTCATTCCATTCTCTTATTTTCCAATCATTGAATCTTTCTGGATTTTGTGTTAAAATATACAGTTATATATTTTCTTTTATAAGAGTAAAAGAAAGTTTACTGACGAATACGACTGAATAAAGTAATTTTCTTCACTGCAAGGGTGTTATATATATATATGAAGAAAGATATAATAGATGAGTTTAATCACTAAATTTTTTATCTGATTTAAGTATAAATAAAGCATTGTCTTCTATCTGATTCGTCATGATAAAAGATTTAAATAACATCGAAAACTAAATATTTCCATGAACTCTTTTAGACACATGCAGTGGAGTTTCACTTTATTAAAACAATTCATTTTCTTGGACAGCAAGGAGATAAATCATCTGATGACACCAAAGTTTGGAAAATATTGATAGTATTTCCACTTTTGTAGCAACTTTTTAAAAAATTTTGATAAAAAACTCATAAAAATGAGCTAGAGGGAGACTCAGTCTTGATCGTTCTCAGCTAAGCATACACTATAAAATCATGGTAGACTTAGAAATCTTAAAGATTTATAGGACTTATTCTAATACGTTCTTGAAAGATATATGACAGTGTTATAAACCCTCAAAGGATTTTGACTGCATCAGATAATCTTACCGTTGATTAATCTACTCTTAAAGGGGTTGATTATTGTATGTTTACTAAAATGAATTAGATAAAGAGATATACTTTTTTTCAAATTTCGAGGTTGTGCTGTAAAAAAACTTTTTGACAAAAACTATATAGTTTGACAGAAACTTTCGTATTGAAGCTTCGCCGTGCGAGAAGCAATCTAAAATGTTCTATGTGCCCGAAAGACCAAATCTATAAATAAAGCAATTCTAAGTACGAATCTACTTCGTAGAATAAAATGTAAATTTAAAATACGAACAAACGTTAAACTATTCAAAGCCATTGAAGCAGATCTTGTTGCATCATGAAATCTTCTCAGAAAAAGCATTTTTTGTGTTCGAGTTAGATATTTTTATTCTCTAGTTTGTTCGCACATATGACTACAAATGCTCACGACATTTGGTCGAAATAATGGTGTTTAGGAAATAGAGAAAACCAAGTTTACAACAAATAGAATGATCTCTTAGACTAATTACCTTAATACAGATGTTCGTTTTTCGCTAAGCAACAACTCTTGATAAACACTTCGAGGATTCTTCGTGTACATATAAATAATAAAATAAGCATTCATTTTACTAATCCATGAAAAATTCAGTTTGATTTACAGAGACATAAAAAAAAGTCTGTAGAAAAAATAAATTTAAACAGATACAACCAATTGTTGACACTCATAATCCACTATAATCTGCCAGTACGATTTGTACTTCATATCTCTACAACAATTATCTAAGTTTAAACAGGAAATTTTTCTTACGAGTGTCCTGCAGAATGTTATTTATAAGCACAGAAAAATGGAAGCGCTCAAATGGAGTACAGATTTTGTGGATTACAAAAGGGTTAAATCCAATGTCCATCGAATAGGCGGCTTCTACTTTCTTCTTTTAGCTTTATTTCTATATTTAGACAGCAATTCAAATTACAATCTGCTAGCACGTATACACATCAACATACCTTGCCGTTATTTTCTACATTTCATAATTCTCTAAGATGTCCAAGTTAGTCGAAAAACTTCGACAAAATCCAATAGCCATTGTAGTCTCGGCTTTCGCTGCCTTTGGTGGCTTCTTGTATGGTTATGATACAGGCACGATCTCTGGAATCATCGATATGAACTATTTTCTCCAAACATTTGGTTATCGCCAGTCGGATGGAACATATCAGCTCACCTCACAGGATAAGAGTTTGATTGTGTCCATCCTGTCGGCAGGTACATTCTTTGGTGCATTGCTTGGTTACCCAGCCGGTGATTTTCTCGGTCGTCGTTGGGGATTAATTGTGGCATGTTTGATTTTCTCAATTGGTGTTTCGTTTCAGGTCGCTGCTACTGCACTTCCTCTTTTCGTTGCGGGACGTGTTGTTGCAGGGCTCGGTGTTGGCACAATCTCATGTATTATTCCTATGTATCAATCAGAATGTGCTCCTAAATGGATTCGAGGCACTATTGTTTCGGCTTATCAGTGGTTCATTACTATAGGCCTTCTTGTTGCTGCTATTGCCAACAATGGAACCAAAGACATTCAATCATATGCTTGTTATCGAATTCCCATCGGTATCCAATTAATTTGGGCTGGTATACTTTCTATTGGTATGCTCTTTCTTCCTGAATCGCCCCGATATCTTGTTATGAAGGGTCATATTGAACTAGCTTATCAATCGCAAGCGAAACTCAATTGGACCACAACTGATGATCAAAACGTCGATACTGATATCAAACAGATCATTGCCAATGTGGAGTTAATGTCGAAATACAGTTCTGGTTCTTATGCTGATTGTTTCAAAATGGGACCACAAAAGAATCTTCTTCGTACTTTAGTCGGCATTTTTCTTCAAGCATGGCAACAACTGACTGGTATCAACTTCATCTTCTATTATGGTACATCCTTCTTCCATTCTTCTGGCATCCAACAACCGTTTTTGATAACGATTGCAACAAACGTTGTCAACGTTGGTATGACAATTCCTGGTATGTTGCTCATGGACAAACTTGGTCGACGCAAAATTCTCATTATTGGCGCTGCTGGTATGCTGGTTTGTGAATATATTATTGCTATCATTGGTACTATTGTCGGTCAGTCGAACGAAGCAGCTCAAAAGACGCTTATTGCATTCGTTTGTATCTATATCGCCTTCTTTGCTTCTTCATGGGGTCCAGCCGCATGGGTCGTCACAGGTGAACTTTACCCATTAGCTATCCGAGCAAAGTGTATGTCTCTATCGAGTGCTTCTAATTGGCTGTGGAATTTTGCTCTTGGCTATGCTACGCCATACATGGTCGATCTAGACAAAGGAAACATGGGCTCCAAAGTTTTTTTCGTTTGGGGCTCCACGTGTGTAGGCTGTCTTCTTTTTGCTATCTTCTGTATTTGGGAGACAAAAGGCTTATCGCTCGAACAAATTGATTATCTTATTTGCAATTCATCGCCCTTGTCATCTGCCAAAGTCAACAGTGCATTGAAAGCAGGTACTATCCTGGAAGATGACTTGGTCAGTGATGAACCCAAACACTTTCCGGAAAAAGTACACGATGTCGATATTCAAATGCCTACTATTTCGGCACTCGTAAAAAATGCCACTGAAAACATTTACGATACAACAATCATTGCAGAAAGACTTTGATAATAAACGATCATCGACGCCCAGCAAAAAAACATTTATTTTACATATATCCCAGAAAACAAATTTTAAGACAAATAAACGTACTGAAAATTTAATCACACTATTCAATAGCCCAAACTATCTCAGATCATTTGCACAAAAAGCAAACATTCGTTTACCATTCCTGCATGAGTTTTAGAAAAATTTTCTTCAAACTGTTTTTGACCTCGAAAACGTCGTGAATGTCTAAATAATGTTTTTACATACTATATACATATGTGTGTATATATGAATGTTGATGTGAGCTTAGGCGTTGAAGTGAATAGGTATCGGTGTAGGGATCCTAAATC